TACTTACTACTTACCAACTTAAACTGCAGTTTAGTGGAAAAACTCTTCTAACATAGCCCATTACAAGTGCCCTGAGCCAACTAATCTCCTACAGCAGATAAAGACATCCAAAACTGTATTGTACCTTTTGGTTGAGAGATGATCAGTTCCACTTCATCAGGAGAACTCTGTATAATTTTAACTGCAGTATTAAAAGAAACACCCTCAAGACTAATATTATTCACAGATATGAGTCTTCCACCTAAAATAGGATTAAGACAAAAAACATCAAAAGGGGAAAAATAAGGTCAGAATGATTCATTATAAACCATGAAAGCATCTCAATTCTAATTAAAAATTGGGGACAGTGACCTGGTTTGATGTGCCCAGCTCTGTCTGCAGGTCCTCCGGGAATAACTGAAGCAATAAAGATTCCAAGGTCTAATTTCCCCACATTTTCTCCTCCAATAATTACAAAACCTATAAAAATGAGATAGCACAAGACGACAGAGATGCTAGTATTATTGGAAAAAATGAACAGCTGAAAAACAAAAGCATCTTTTCTATTGCCATAAGTTATGTGCACATTTCAGGGACTTAAATTCTCTGATCTTTAACTTCATCTAGACCTTGATTTAGGGGATTAATTAAGCTCAAACTTAAAATTTAGCATGCACTAAATTTTAGCTTGATTTCAACAGAGAGTGGTTACCCTTCCTGAATAAAAAAGATGCTCTCCTGAGTCAGGACCTTAAAGCGCTGAACTCCCAAGTCAGATAAGCCACAACCAACACAGCCTTTGAAACTGTTATAACAACTAAATTAGAAGTATAAACCTTGTTAAGTGCATTTGATAGATCCTTACTAGAACACATTTATCATATGCTTGATTTTGTATTTTGACTACTTGTACCATCAGTGCTGCACTAGCCAGTACCTGCGTTAGCTGTAAGGCTCATAGGTTAGCATATATGCCTTTTGCCTCTTTCTTATTGGATAATTAGTGATAAAAATTCCCCTCTGGTACTCTGATTTATTCCCTGCAGCTGGTTTTGGTGACAAGTTTGTTTTACTAAGCAGCATGCAAGAATTTCAATTAGAGAGAGGCCCACATTGTGGTGTTTGCATCTAAATGAGTTCATTCTTAAGATTCAGGTTTAGACCCAGGGTTTAGATCTAAATAATAATTCTACATGCATTGTAAGGCCACCCCACCTAGGTAATCAGCTGGGTTTTAACCCTTGACTTTCCAAATAAAGCTCTGTCATCCACATTACAAGTGTGACTGAACTAGCAGTAGTAACATGCTGCTGCCCACTACAGACCAGCCATTAAAAGAGAGTGCAAACACATACTTTGCTGGTGTGTTGCATAACGGAATATTATGTACATAACAATTTAAGCACTCAAAAGTCAGGAAATAGCAGTGTTATAATGATATATTTGCTATATTGCTGAAAGACCTGGCCAAGCACCTTAAATGTCAGGTGGGAAACCAGGGTCTAGTTGTATAAAGCACCATAAACCTCCTGAGTTTTTGTTACCCCTTCGAGAAAAATGTAGCTACTGATCCTTTGAACCTGTCTAATCCTTTCCTATACCCCTTTCTATCGACAAAAACAATCTTACATATTGTGAGAGCCAGGGCAAAAGCAGTGGGAGGCTGCTTTAATACCAGACAGTGGCCAGTATGGTAACTTTTTAATGCTGCAAAGAAATATCACAAAATATTCATGTGCATTTGAACAACTTAAATGTACAAATATATCTTAAATGGTTCAAATGCACATGATTATTTTGTGGTATTTCTTTGCATTTTAACTAATTAATTCAGTGTACAAAATGTCTAGACATGATTCTGCCTCATTGCTTAAAAATAAATGAATTCTCTAGTTTGGTTCCAATGTGCCGTGCCCCATGCAGGATGGGGCCTGGGATAACTGCCCCATTATCCTTGCCCTATGGCCAGCCCATCACTGATGGAGTCAGCAAGAAAGAGGAAGCTTATGGACTTTCTTAGTTTCAACCAGCAAATGTCATACTCAGTAGCTATCTTTGGATAGAGAAAACACAAAGGCATTTTTATAACTGGCAATACACAGCCTGTGAGCAGCCTATCCAGTTAGCCCAGCTCATTAAAAAAAACTAATAGACTTTACTGAATGAAAACAAAGACTAGAAATAGACATCACCAAATGAAGCAAACCATCTGTCACAGGTTGTGTCCTGGTACAAATGATCCAGTTCACTGGGTGAAATGTATATTGCCCACTATATCACCTCTATTGATCCTGGGAGCGCATCTTGGTAAGTGGGAAAACCACAGCTTCCCCACTTTCAGAAATGCAGCCTAGAGATTCCCAGGTGCATGTCTCTGTAAGTGGAGAAAGCTGGACAGGTGCTCCGTGGGCTTGAGGGGCCCAGTCCTGGGAATTGCTGTGGTTTGCAGGATCAGGCTCCTTAAGCCCCCATAACCTCTGGCTGCAGCAGCAAGGGAGCATGGGAAGCTCCAAGGTGCTTATGCTCTTGCACCATAAAGTAAACAGACATCCACCGTTAAACTGTGGCAAATATTGATAACACTTTTATCACAGCCACAATTTGAAAAGAGGTATAGATGTCTGTTTGCTTGGCCTTTGTGCTGCCATACAATTTTTTATGGTAGCACAAATGTTATGGAAGGCAATGCCTGTTTTTACCCAAAGAGTAAGCTAAAGACTCATATGCATGAGCTGAAAATCCTGGTAACAAAAATATGAATGTTCCTTACTCACCAAAGCCATTTTGAGAATCACGTTTTAAATGGACACAAATAATTTCTCTTTCCAGTCCACTTAACACCATCTCCTTTTGGCTAACTGGTGAACATGATGCTGTGAAACAAAACAGCTGAAGTCAATGCAGACAAAAGACATGAGGAAAGAAGAGAGTTGCATTGGTTTGGGGCAATTTGGGTGTTTAAAAGGTAAATGTACTTTGTCCTTAATGTCAAGATTACTATTCATTTTAAACAAATATAATACAGGTGGGGAATGCCAGCACTCTGTAGGTATCCAGAGAACACATAAGCACAGTTTGTAGTGGGCATGCTGCTGCTATATTGTCCTAGGAATCCCTGTTCACCCCCACTCACAGGATTCATGTCTAGCAGTGGATGTGTCTACACAAAACACTGTGTCGCCATAGTGACAAGCTACAGTGACATGCTGTGGCGGGCACAAACTGTGATGCCAACGCTTACGTTGCCATAGCTTATCACTACAGCGATGCGGAGTCTAAAAATAACCAAGCGCCACCGGGACTGCACAGTGCATGTGTAGATGCACCTAGTAAAAAGCTGGATTGAGCTGGGATTTTTAATGGAATTTAAGGGGAGCAAACACCCAACTCATATTGTATTTGAGTGGGATTTAGGACTTAATTCCCTGGATTTAACTCCCTGGATTTTAGGACTTAACTCCCTGAACTTAACTCCCTCCCAACCAGCAGCAGTTGTGATGATGGCTATTGTAATGGGAGCACATGTCACCCCATGTATGAGACTTGAAAGTATGGTTTTACTCTGAAAGGGGGATGTGTACAAATTACATTTTTGTCCTTGGTAGATCTGCTCTCTCTCCATATGTGAATCAGACAAGCTGACTTCAGTGACAAAAATAGTTTTTTATTGTTTTTATTTTTATTAGCTGCACAATGCAAGCTTAGGTATATAGTGGAACCTGGAGTCTGTTCTGACTCATACATTATGTACATAGTTGGCATGATATACCAAGCCAAATTATGCCCTTAGAAACATACGTAGAACTTCAGTTAAGGCATTCACATATGATTGAGCAACCTCACTCAAGACAATTGTGTGTCGCTGCACGCATCTACATGTGCCCCTTTTAAGCAGACTTAACCTAAAATTGCCATTTTTAAAGCACATTAAGAGCACATGTCTACATATGCATGTCCTTAACGCACCTTAAAAATGGTGATTTAAAGCTATGTGAACATAAATTTGATGCCTGCATAAAGCAGGTATCAAATTTAGGCACGAATAGCTAAGTTGCGTTAGTGCATGTGTAGATGTGCTAATGTGCATTAACAGTATGCATCAAAGGATAGACATTGTGTTAATGCACATTAGCACATCTGCAAGTGCACTAATGCAACTTTAGCTATTCACACCTAAAATTATTGTACCTTAATGCACATTAGTGTGTCCACATGTAGATGCGCGCCTAAATTAGCTTAAGTTTAGGCAAACATAAATGCATGTGTAGACATGTGCACTGAGGCAATAACTTGACCTGGAAACCCTTATTACTGTTGCTGATGTCAGAGAATGGAGAAAAAGATCCCAAGTAAACTCATTGACTCAGGGTTAATTTATAGGTCTGATTGGGGAAAAGAAATCTATTGCTTTCTAAAATGAAGAACTTTGGTCTGGAGTCACAGAAAAAAAGTGTAGAATCCTATGGTTCCATTTTTCAATATAGCGCTGCCTCTTAAGTACATCACGACCATTATACTTACGGCTGGCTATATTCTGATTTGAGCGGATAAAGAGATAGTCATAACTTCTTTGGTTTTCATTTAAATTAATGTGCGCTTCTGACTGAGACAATCCTGATGGTGAGCTGGCAGTCAAGAAAGGAGGCTTCCATTAATATAACAAATCAACAACATGACTTAGCACTTACCGTCTTCTATAATTTACAAATAGTGGTCAGAGGTAAGAAGAGAACACAGACATTCCTCGCTTATAACCACATACTCAAGCCATTAGACCATATCTCATGGACACAGATGCATGCTGTTTGTTGTGCTGACATTAGTTTTCAGATTAGATCTAATGCAAGACCACTTATGTAAGGATTTTTTCATGAGTCAAGAGGAAACAAACCCTTTATTTTAATGCAAACAGCAGGAAAGCAGGGCAAAATCCCAGCATGAGTCAGCTATTCCTGCATATAAAGGGGAGTATTGACGGCTCATTACTGCTCCTCACTCTTCTAGACCCTAGCATTTTAAATGGCACAAGAAGCTCTTCAAGGCCTTCAGAACCCTGTGCAGCTAAGGCAACCACCAGCACTTTGGTGGAGGTAGTGATGTAAATGAGAAGAGAAGTCATTCTCTTTTTCTGCATACAACACTTTTAAACATTGAGGAATCCCTCAGGCAGGAGCGCCTTTGAGGTAATTAACTCCACACATAGGTGGATCTAGGACTTTGTTAAGGGGATGCAAGAAAAGTGACCAGCACTGCAGGGGTGGCTGCATTTTGTACTCCTAGTGTCCCTCCCAACCAGTACAGATAGACCACACCATGAAAGAACAGCTGAAGACTTTTTTTAAGTCCCTGAATCAGGTAAAAAATTCACACCCACTGTTCTCACACCCCCTCCATTCCCAGCAGCATGTTCCCTTCTCTCCCATTCCCCATCTTCCTTGCCCACCACTGTTGTTGTCCTCCACTGATCTGGGGGTGGAAGAAGCTGCAGAGCCAGTCCTGCTGGGCTATGTGGGAGGCCAAACTCAGGCACAGTAGCCGTGACAGTAGATAGGTTCCCCTTCCTGGGCCTTCCCCCAGCCTGACAGGGAACACACAGAGGACTGGGACAGGCGGAAGAAACTCCCCACCACTGCCACTGAGCCTGGCTCACCTGACAGCCCAGCCGGGGCAGAGTAAGAGCAAACCTAGAGCTCCTCTTGTCCCTGGTTAAGCCTGAGAGAGCAACAGCAGTGGATAGGGAAAAGGAGAAATGGAATGGGAAGGGAGGGGACATGTCCCTGAACACAGGAGAAGAGGGGAATTCTTACCTGCTTCAGGGACTTTAAAAAAGTCCCTGGCTGCTGCCCCTGAGGCATGCTTAAAAAGGGGGGGGGGGTGACCATGCCTCCTCTGTACCCTCTCTGGATCTGCCTCTGCCCCATGCTTTCAGTTCTGATAGTGCCTGTCTGGCAGGGGTGCACACACACACCCTGTGCTCTCCTTTTCACTTCTGTTCTTTTTTTCCTCTGTTCTTTTTTATCAGACAGAGAGAAAATGGTTTGGTCTTTGAATCTGACACAAAGAGTACCTCTGTCAAGGTCAGTACCTCTGTAAGGTCAAGTCCTTACTTGTTAGATTGTGCCTTCTGTGTGTTTGTGTAATATCTAATACAGTGTAGCCCCCTACCCTTTCAAGGGCTGTTGGGCTTGACTACAATGTTAATAATGACTAATGACACACACTGGATTTTCAAGAGATTTGAAAGAAGTCTGCAAGGATATGAAGTGCAATAGTTCATTTCAACTCAGATATACAGTGCAGAATCAGTTTTGGCATGTCAGAAAATCTTAGGGTTAGTATTATTATTTAGACCTGATGAATAATGCCTTGTATTCAAAATCTTGTCTAACTTTATCTAACTATATAGTTAGTCCAATAAAATATATCACCTTAAGAAATTCTTTCCCCTTGGATTATTATGGTTATTTAGACCATTTTGCATGTGAATGCTGCTTTGTACAGCAGGTAACCATGTTCAGGAAGGCTAAGGGTGTAAATTGGTAAAGAGAGTACAAGGAAACAACTGGGGTGATCACTGCAGGTGGGATGCATCATGAGTTAACTCTGAAGCAACAGTGTCCACTTTGGAAGAAACATACTGGACATGTCTAAATGGGAGATTTACTGTGCATTTGACTAATTAGCTGCATAGGAAATATCTTGGTATCTTAGGCCAAAGGAAATGAATTTACTCTGCAGCAGGATACTACTTGTAAATATGCACATGCACACACACTAAAACTGGTACAAACTTACCTTTTTGGTTTTATTAACTTACTTAACAACAAAACATAAGAAACAGCCAAACTCAGGAAAATATTTAGGCTGAGGTTTAAGATTCAGAGTCTTTCCATGAAGGAACTCATCTATTGCTCCCCCTTTTCTCTGCCACAATGGGCATTTATACACATACTCCAGGACTTGGAGGGTAGGGGGGACGCTTTAATTAGAGTGGCTCTTTGAGCTGATCTAATCATGAACACCGTGTGCCTCTGGAGGCTGGGGGGGGGCATGGTGAGCTCCTACAGGCGGCGACAGTGCTGGCGGCGGCAGGAACACAGTGACAGCAAGCAGGGAGCACCTGCAGGCAGCCGTGGTGCAGTTGGTGGTGGGGTGGCGACCGGCGGCCAGTGACCACCTGCAGACACCACTGGCAGCATTGGCAGTGGCCAGTGGCAATCACAGACCACCCACAGATGCCGCCGGTGATGCTGGCGGGGGGGGCAGGTGGCAAGCGGCAACCGCCTGCAGATGCCACTGGCAGTGTCGGCGGCACCAGCACGCTCAGGGGATGCACATGCACCTGTATGCACACCCTACATGTCGCCAATGGATATAATTAAAGTGCCTGGAGCGCCTTGTGTATCAGCATCCTGCGCTTAAAAATGGCTGCAGGGGCACTTTAACTAAAGCTAATTGAATGAGCTTTAGTTAAAGCACCCCCTCCATCATTTTTAAGCACAGGGACACTGATGCACAAGATGCTGGAGTCTGCTGGAGCATGGTTTTGCATGCTCCAGCAGACTCGATTAATTGAGTCTGCTTTGCCACGCTGTAATTACAGCACATCAGAGCAGCCTCACTGCTCGTGTATAGGCACCCATTGATTACCAAACCTGTTTTATGCTCCTGGTGTAGATCTAATAGGACCTTTCTAGTTTGACATGACAGTAAATCAGCAGAAGTAAATCAGCTCTACATCACTATGCTGGGTCCTATATTTTGGCATCTTGTCATAAAAATGTTTTAAGTAATTCTGTAAAAGGTTGCAGCGCAAGCTTTAATCCTGTTACAGCCACTGCTGAATTGGCAGCAGCTTTTGACTGCTAAAGCTTGAATTGCAGAGTTTTCAAAGAGAAAATAAGTGTTGCTGGGCAGCAGCCCCTGCCCCCCCTTCCTGCAGCCAGAGCCAAGCACAAAGCCAGCCCACAGCAGCCATTCCAGTGTCCCTATGCCTCCATGCTGGCACAGAAGTCATCTTCCTTGCTTAAAGCACACACCCCAATTTTAGATGGTTAATTTTGGGGGAAAAGGTGTATATGGTATATGACTAAATACATGTATCTATTTGCCAAACTAATATACACTTTTAAACACATTTAAAGGAAAAGATGCAAATTTAAACCCACCTGCCTAGGTTGCTTTTGTCTCCAGCCACATTGTTGGTTTCCACACTGATGCTATCACAAGACCTACTCATCATTCCAGCATCTGCATTTTCCAAATCAGTCCTGCACAGCAAATTTTCTGAATGAGACATTCTTTGAGACAAGACAAAGTGTTCATGTTGAACTGCATATGTGGCATTCAGTTGGTCTGTTTCCAAATATTTGCTTTCTTCTCAGATGGAAGGGGACCAAAGAAGAGATAGAAGGAAAAGAAGGGTAAAAGGATACCAGAGATTTTATGTCCAAAATTGCTCTCAGTTTGCCTTTTTTAACATAACAGACTTACAAAATATCTGGCATTATACATATTATACTTGTTTTGATACCCTAAGATCATTTATGCACTATGATGGGGAAAAAGATATTCTATCATTTTCTTTCATAGGAAGTATCATTGTGGTTTTCATTTGGGTTTGAATTCCATTCATATGGGCTTCAGTACAAATCCACTGTCTACAGAGGGAATTGCAGTGCTTGGCTCCAGTAAACCAGAATATCTCTCAGAGGCTCTGTTTACATGAATGGCAGACTGTGCAGTTGTTACTGCGCTGTCATTTAGTACTCGCATAAGCAAGTACTAAATGACTACGTAGTAACCGGTGTTACTGCACAGTACCATCCCCGCAGTTTTTTTCCAATGCTACTGCACAGTAGCTCGTTACTACTGCAGAGTAGCGTTGCATCATGGTTAGTGCCTGGCAATGCTACTGCATGGTAGCCACAAGCTAGTGCGCAATAGCTCGTTGCTACTGCACAGTGGTGTCTCATGTAGATGCTCCCAGAAATGTGCAGTTTAAGATCAGGAAGCGGAACTCAAATGAAAAAATTCTGTCTCTGGAGGACTGAATTGACTGTAATCAGAGAACCCTCATTTGTTTCATAAATCACCAGTCCAATAAGCATGTATCTAAGGAGATCTGAGCACTTCCGATAATCCTTCTACAACTCAGAGAAGAAGAAAGAAGCTGAGTCTTAGCCCTGAGCATTTTGTGCAACTGAAGAAAGGGCTAAATTAAGACGGTACACAACATGTAATTTTCCACATCCAAGTTAAACTGCCAATTCGTTTTAGACTACTAGATATTGTGGACTGTAAGAAAAGAATCTGCAACTCTATCCCATGGAAGGTCCTTGGAGAGACTAAAGCTAACTGAGTCAATGTTAATCTGTTCAGGTTTTTGCTCAGCAGGTAGGAATACTTTGGGGAGGGGCTGGCAATTAGGGCGCACCTACACAAGACGCTCCCAGGGGTCCTGCTGCTGACTGGCTAAGCCCTGATGCTGGGGGGAGATATGCTAGCTGCAGGGACAGCTGTCTCCCCTCCACATGGGGATCAGGACCCATCCTGATCCCCATGTGGCTGGTAAAGCTCTCCCAGCAGCAATGACCGCTGCATCCCACCCACATGGAAATCAGGTCAGGACCCAATCCATGTGGCCAAGAGAGCTGTCCCTGCTCAGTGGGGGACGCTGCCTGCCAGTCGTATAGGGACTGGGATCTCCATGTGGCTGACAGGCAGCATCCCCGCTGAGTGAGGACAGCTCTCCCAGCCACATGGGAATTGGGACCAGCCCTTGTGCCCCCTGCCAGCCCCAGGGCTGGCACCTGGGGGGCCTGGAGCGTCCCCTCGTTGCTGCAGGGGGGCAGAGCAGGGCAGCAGCATTCCTGCACTGAGCTGCTCCTCTCAGGAGCAGTTTGGTCCCGAGAGGTGCACATGTAGCCCCAGAGCGCTTTATTACACCTAAATTTTGTGGGAAGAAAATTCATGTGCATTATTTGCACATGTGGATATGCCCATATAGAGGCAAAACAAGAGCTCTGCTGCCACAAGAAAGGGGCTTGCAAGGTAGGGGAGCTAAAAACTAATAAGGATTACCTGTCCTACTTAACATGCATGGGCATCTCTTCCAGAGTTCGCTTTCTATTAGATATTATTCTGAATGTAGCTCTCTGGAATGGTACTTTTTAATTTCATTACAGCTAAGCCCCTTAAACTTAATGGATTTGGACAGAGACATTTTAAAATATCTAAAGGGTTTGCTGGCCACATTATTAGCACAACCTGAGAGTTACCATGGTGATAGCTAAGTAGGAGGTTGCCAGCATGTTTGTGGAGATTTTGACTTATACCTCTGAACCAGGGAGCATTCTTATTGATTTGTGCATAAGGGATTCCACTACTATGAAAATACCGAGGAAAGAATTATGCTGGTAGTTAATATGGTTAAATTGTCAGTAAGGGTCCCTGCCAACTGCCTGAAAGGAACCATCCCCTTAGACCAGAATGACATGCCAGTACTGAATCCCACAACCTGCAGTCACTCCCTCAGGCTAATGACTGGCACAAGCCATAACAGTTTCTGTGGTATAAGGCACTTGTAACTAGGGCTTGTGTTATAATTATACTGCTGCCTAATTCATTTTGCAATCTTATATCTTGATTATAACAGTCTTCATTCTAAAATATTAGTGCAAGTACATGTTGCCCAACAAACCATACAGTTTGTTCTTGAGGCTCACTTATATGCTAGATGTCTTGTTTTTATTTCTAGTACCTTTGTGTAAGGATTTCATGCTAGGGGCAAAAAAATTGTTTCCTGTAAAAGAATGTTGTAAATCTGCAGATCAAAATGCTAACCATTGCCTAAGAATCAGCGTTCCCACAAGAGGTGGGGACAGGATGATCTAAGGGGCAGAATGCTGACTTGTAAGTCAGGACGCCTGGTTCTGTTCCAAGGACTCATGGATTTTTGTTTGGGGGTCATCTCTTATTTTCAGTTGCTACAGAGCCATTTATTAGGCTTTCTTGGTTCAGAGATTAAATCCAGCCCAACACTGCTGGACACAGTAAGCCACACATTCAGTGGAATATATCTGTGCTTTCCACCAGCAATAGATCTGATCAGTTGACCCCAAAATCACCAACGAGGTTACTGCAGCACTGTGTACTGTTTTCCTGTTTATTTAGCTGTATGCCACTGATTACCAAAACACCTTACAGACATTAATTAAGACCCCTTCCGGAAGAGAAATACTATCCTCCCTATTTTACAGATTGTGAGCTGAATCACAGTCAGATTAAACAATTGTATAAGAGCACCTGTGAGAGAGGATGTAGTAGAACCGGCCACATCTACATGAGATGCTGACTGTGCAGGAGCCCAATACCACTGCACAGTAGCATTGTGTGGCAAAACCTGTGATGTGACACTACTGTGCAGTAGTTCTGGGCTCCTGCACAGTCAGTGTCACAAAAAAGGCCTTCATCAACACTACTGCGCACTGCACAGTAACTCAGGTTACTGTGCAGTCATTTAGTCCTTGTTTATACAAGTACTAAGCAACTGCGCAGTAACGACTGCGCAGTCAGCATTTCATGTAGACGTGGCTGCCGAGTGGTAAACCCACAGCATATTTCATTTCCTTTAGCTTCCTTTGTGCCTCACAGGATTGGTTGTGTGAGGGAAGGTATGTTCCTAGCTCACCTGATGAAGCTTGCCGAAGATGAAAGGAACTCATCCGTGCATTAAATTTGTGCTGAGCAGAGCAGAGGTGCAGCAAATATTTACAGGTCTTTGCTGTGTCAGTGATGAACTTGTGTTTTTTGAAACTGCTTTCAATCATGAACTTTTTTCTCTAGAGAGAACAGAAATGCACATGTTAGTTTATATTCCAAAAAGGACATTATTCTGATGAATATAAAGCTTTCCTATATAACTGTGCTCATTTTTCCAGATATACATATGCATTGTACATGCAGTGATTTGAAGTTGATAGTAATGAATCCAATGTCTGGCATATGTATTTAGAACATATATGCCCTTAATTGAAATCAATGGGCTCTGGACACTGATTTCATTGGAACTGACAAGACTTGGATGTTAACTTAACGCTCATAACATTTTAACCAATAGGATGCAAGTACCTCGAGGCAGGCAAGCTAGTAATGAGAAGAGAGAAGAGGGCTGAGTGATGACTGGCTGACATATTTCTGATCCAAGCATACCACCTGGAAGGGGACCGCAGTCCCAAATATAGCTGAGTCAGTGCACAAGAATTCTAATGGTAACCCTGAATTAGATGTGTTTATCAAAGTCACAGTCTGAGTGGCTATACAACTGAATGGAAAGCAAAGGGTTCTCTTGGTTCCCACTCACGTGAGCTGAAATCCTCTCCATTTCCTGCCACTGGAACCTTAAGACGGCAATTCTTGTGTGGTTTTTCACATCATACACAATGATGCCTTTGGCACAGATTCCCAGGACAGTATCAACTCCTGCTGCCTTCTTCTCTTGGAACACATGATGGAATAGCATGCCATATTCAGGGAGCTGCTGAGTCACCTTTGCAGAAGGAGACATGGTAAATTTACACCACACTATGTATAATGTGTATTGCATAGAGCCCAATCCTCCTATCCTAGCACAAGGCCAGAAAGGAACAAAATCAAGTGGGAAAAAATGTAGACTGCCAGGAGAGAGATAGGTAGCAGAAGACTTCTTTCCCACTGAGAGACACTGGAAACCCTTGCAAAATTCTAACCCCTGCTCCTCCACTAAGTCAACTTCTGACCCTGGCAAATCATTGCACTGCTTTATGACTTGGTTTCTCACTAGGAATAGCACTTTCCAATCCAGTTCACAGGGAAAGCTGAGAGGAATATTTGTCTGTATTGTGCTGTAAATGTTATAGTGACACACAATTTCTCAGTATTACTGGCTCTTAAGACCATGTAAATTTGTGGAGTAGAAATCTGCTTGAAGTTGGTGCTACTTCATGCATGTTAACATGTTCCTTCCCATCTTTAACTGTATGCTTTTGTTCCCATGCTCAAACCCAAGCAATGTAACACACAGCAAATAAACTGATATTGCTAAAATTTTGGCATCAAAAGTATTAGATGCACATGCAGTTATAAAAAATCTCTGGAAATTTTACCTTCTAAAACATAATAGCTCTCTGCCTTCAACGAATACTCTGAGGTACTGACCCACATTCCTTAATCTTTCTAATAAAAACACACATTACACATTATTTGGTTGTCTGCTGGTTTCAGCTATGAGTTTTGCTAAATTATAATTAGAGCTCAAGTCTAAACATTACAGCAGCTTACGAGGGGGAATTTGGTTCTCCCCTAAGATGCCATCTGATTGAAAGTGACTCTTCAGTCCCATTCCCTTCAAGCACAACATTCAGCTTAAAGAGAGGGGGGAGCAGTGCTTCAAGAAACAAAGGAGACACTTTTACCTCTAGGACCCTAGGAGGAGAGCTCTTCTGCCTGGGATGTGTGCAGGCTGGGGAAGGGAGTGAGAAGTACCTGTTATAGCCCATTCATTGTACATAGCTCCCCACTCAGCAACTCTACCTTACAATCCCTACCATTTAGTGACAATGGGTGGAACTATATTTCCCTCTGCACATCTAAAACTAAGTTTTCTAGATATCTACCTGGCCATTTTTGGCCCTCGCTTTAAGCTGTGGCTGTTTGAGGCAGCATGCATACAGCGAGGCACTGGTCAGCTACTTACATGACTACATTTGTGTATTCAAGCACAAGTCCTGGAAAAAAGGGAAGGGAAAGGTCCTCCCATGTTTTTGCTCAATGGGTTAAGGCACTCACCAAGTTCTAGGTCTCCATCACTTACAGGGGGGTTGCAGCTGTGGTTCTCTGACTTTCCAGCTGGGAACCATCAGGCCACAGGTCAGGCATCATCCCTTGTATTTAATAAAAATTGGTTATACAGTGGGGAAATTTCCATCCCACTGGGAGCAAAGGCCCAAGCTAAAATCCAGGGTGTACTTCCTTGCAAAGCAAGCAGCCATCTCACTGTACCACAAAGCCTCCTGACCTCATATATCATCCTCTCTTGGCCCAGAATGGGCACACATACATAGCTGCATATGTGTCCAGCCAGTATGTAGTCTACAATGCATGTTCACCCTATATGTATACACTTTCATGTCTACTTTCCAGGGGTAATAGAATCATTATCTGTGTGTAAATGGCATTTGTAGCACTTATGACACACAAAGAAAATCAGAATTCTACCCAGTATGTCAAAAAAATATTTTCTCACCCAAATCTTTGCCCTTCAGAGGTTTCTGAGATATGGGGGATGATTTTTCAGTCATTCTGTGAGTTGCAGATCAAAATAAGGCTGTGTGCCTTACCTAGTTCATTGTCCCTCAGAGGTTATCCAGGGCCTTAAGCTAAGCTCTTAAAAAATGACCAAAAGATTTGGGAGTGACCAAATGAAATAACTTTAAAGGGACCTGGTTTATAGAAAGTGTTCAGGACCTGCCCTCTGAAAATCAGGCCTTGTTAAAGTTTCTCAAGTGAACACCAAAATTGAGGTACCTGGAACTACTAGCCAAATCCTGGCTGTGACATCAAAGCTCCTTTCATATTTGAGAGGAAGAATTTGATTTTTCCTTGCTTCATGAATTTCCTTTTCCTTGAATGTGGTGTGTTCTTGTTTCTATAGATTTGTTCATTGAAAGAGAGGCTAACAAAGCTGCTTTTCTTCATTTGATTTGCCATGCATGATAGGACTCTGCACCCCAGTCTGTTGCAACAATTCCACTAACACAATTAAGCAGCAACTGGACTGAAATGATGACATAAATAAAAGCATGTGTGACTGGAACAAAATAGATAGTGATGTTCAGATACTCCCTGATCCTAGATGTTTCATGTTAAGATGAGGAAACAGAAATTACAAAGGTAACTGTGACACCCAACAAAACAGTCATCTTAGAAAATGGATCTCCACTAAATAAATAGGTCAAATAAGGCATTTTAGATAACTCATTCTTCACACTTCGAATTCACAAATAATTTTAAGTGTTTAACAAATGAATAATAGATATTTAATAATGACTGATCAGTTGCTATAGAATGCAAAAGTTCATGGGGTGTTTCTATCCACGTTTTATAACAATGTGGAATACCTTCTACTGATGTTGTTAAAACTATCTACAAGACATGTCTGTAACATACTTAAACTATGTATCACTCTTATATAAATTATTTATATAGCATAATGTGTGGTCCAAGTTTCCAGAGCAGCAGTACTCACTCCATGGCTAAATTTGCAATTTGATTATATGCCCAAAGTTGGTCCCTCCTCTAAAATCCACACAATTTCAGATGATCAGCCTCAGACTTCATAGGTTCAGTGTACAGTCAAGGTCAAAGGTCTGCCCAGCTCTAATACTTCATTAGGCTAGCACAATTAAACCACACTGTTTTCTGCAGTCAATGACAAGTAAAGGATATAATGTGGCCAGCATAATTTAGTCACTTTGGACTGCCCGCCTAAATTATCAGATACCCATTTATATCTGGGTCATCTGAGAGTGGCTTTGGCAAGCATTTAGAGCAGGGCCCAAACTGATCTGTCTGGTTCTCTGTGATTGTGTCCCATTCGTTAGGCCTACAGCAGAATTTTTCTGCTAACTTTCCAGTTAATAAGATAAAAACGCCCTGAAATCTGACATCCTTAATATAGGGCCCAGCTCAAAAAATATTTCATTTTATTGGCACACTGTAGCAAAAAGACTAAAATGAATTTGAGCAAGGAGAAAATAGAATCCCCTCCTACTCCAGGCTTCTTCCCTGCCTCTTGCCCCCCCCCCAGGGCTCCACCACTTCCCCTCGCCCCCAGGATTCCCCCCTTTCCACCCCCATCACCTACTTGTAGCTGCCCATACTGTCTGTCCCAAGGGAGCAGGCAGCAAAGGATTAACCTGCCTGGCCAGCCACCATTGCCAGGCTGCTGCTCTTCTCAGGGCTGAGCGAGCTCAGAGAGCAACGGGAAGCATCCGGGCAGGCAGGTTAACCCTTCCCTCCCTGTTCTTCCAGGACAGACAGCAGGGGGGAGTGAGCAGGGATCTGGGGTGCTGGGGAGGGGGGTGGGCAATAGGTCCAATCCCAGGCAGTGAGGAAGGGGGGCGAGTGGGGTGTTTGCACTAAGGTATAGCCTAGAATGGCTGCACTTTAGTTTAACAGGAGCTGGATAACACAGATTAGAGAAAATCCTGCCCTGGAGGTGTAACTGACCCACCTAACAAGTGCTTAAAATTAGTTTCAGGAGTTAATATGCAGACAATCCAGGCCTAAGAGCTCTAGGAGCTCCATGTAACAAGGCCCTTGCATACCTAATTGGAGTAACAGAATCTGACCCCTAGTGTCCAGCACTGGTATTTACTTTAAGTTACTAAAATTCTCCCATGTTCCAGAAGGATTATGGTGGATCCATGATCAAACTGGGTAGGCTCACATTGTGAAAGAAGAGCATTAATGGGAAAGAAACAAGGGTTAATTTAGTGACTGAGCACCATGCTTAGTATCAGGTTCAGGTAAGAAGCAAAATTAGAAGACCAATATTCCTCACAGTATTTTCAATATGCAACCAGGAAGAAAGAACTGTGGGAGGGGAGAGGATAGGAGGGTGTGCTAGCAGCTTTAAGGGTTGTTTAGGTACCTTACTTTCGAGTTCTTCATAGTGTAGCGAAAATAGATACTTTTCTCTATGTTTCTTTGTTCCTTGTTTTAGTATTAACCCCTGCATTCTGTAACTTTCCACCCACATGGTACAGGATGGCCCACTACGTATGTCTTATAGGTTGCTCAGGTTTTGGTTTGAAATGACCAATCAAAATGTAACACGTCAACTGAAAAAAATGCTAGCTCAATAAAAGCCACGTGTGCTCTTTGTTTAGGGTCGACACTGATCTGAGCAACAAGCTCCTCTGTCGG